TGTACCCGCTTCTGGATTAAGAGCCGCCATGCCCCGAACTACACCTAGCTAGCCGAACGAGCCGCAGCCGTGGGTGGCCTTGTAAACCACCCGTTGCCCCCCTTACCCCTTTTCGCTCGATACGTCTCCCCGCTTTAGACTCGAACGAATTCGTGGCCTAGGACTTCGCGCTCCCACTTCATCCTTCATAGGTGATAGCTACGCGAGCAGAGCACCGACGGCGACGAGGAGGGAGGCAGCGGGGAAACCACCCGACCATCACAGCGACCAGCAGGACCGCGCCGAGTCGTCAGCCAACGTTGCAGCGCTACCTGCTCTCCTAACGCGAGAGCACGGTAGCTGGCGCCCAACAAAATTAAATAAAAGCTGCGTACGTTGTCTCGGCTGACTGCGCGCCGCTGGCGACAGTGCGAGACCGGAGAAATACCTGTCAATTATTTTTCCCCTCCCTCTCCCCCGTCGCAATATATATATATATATATATGGGTTAACGTGCTTGTGGTTTTTTGGGGGCGGTTTTTAGAGGTTATGTGAAAGTGTAAAGAGTTAGGTCCGTTAATTGGCTTGTGGTACATAATTTTATTATTTAAACCCATTAATGCGCAAAACGTTATTTTTGTGCACGCATTTTCAAGCATAAAAATGAAATGGAAAACCTCGTTGATTTTCTGCCGAATTTGCTTATCGGGGGTTTTACGGTCGCTCTTTCAGAAAATCGCACTTATTTTTCAATATAATTCGAATAACCTAATTTTTTAAGGTTTTTTCGAAAAATCATCGAATTTTTTCATAATTTTATTTTAAAGTGTATTATTGTAATTTTACAATTTTTTTACCGCCATAAGACCACCTGAAATCATGGTCTGAATGTCTGACATTTCTGAAAATGTGGTTGTAAACATCTACTTTTGATTTGGTATTTTCAAAATGGCCACTTTTTTGTAACAGCACTATGAAAAACTTCATGAATTTTTTACTCAAAAAGGAACGACTTTACAAATAAACATATACAGAATAGAAATTGCTTAGAATCAGTTATAGAATACGTCTGAATTTTTTTGAAACGATTTGGACTATTTTTGATTTTTTCGAAAATGACCAAAAATGGCCCAAATTTTTTCGAAAAAAGTTTGGATGTGTTTCATATCTGAGTCTGAGCATTTTTCGTTTCATAGTTATTGCTGTAACTATGAAACGGGTTATTCATAGCAGAACTAAAGATTCAATGTATTTTCAATTTCAAATGATTTTTCATAACGAGTTGTATGATAAACGACTAAATTTTGTAATAAAAAAGGTTTGATGTTACGAAAACAATAAATCGGTAAACAAAAATCGGGCTTTTTACGTGATGACGCATCATCACACAATGCCATTTCTTACCGAAACAAGCTGATTTAATCAATTTGATATAAAAGAATAATTAAAACAATACATAACTACCCCCTAAAAATAGGGTTTACCACCTAACCCTTTGGTATAAAAGCTATGTCTGAAGAAGCGTACTTTTATAAAAAATGTTTTTTTTTTTATTTAATGTCGCTCTATTTATCCTCCATCAGTGCAAATCAGCAATGTATTTGAGAACAAAGCACATGAAATTTTTTTCAGTGGTACTTGTATTAATCAGCAGGGACTGGGAATCGAACCCGGGCCTACCGGGTGCGACTCCGTCGCCCTACCGACCGAACCATTACAGATCTCAATAAGACATTTTTTGTCATTGATTTTATTCAGAAATTCTAAATATTTCTTGAGATATTGAAAAAAAAAACTGTTTTAGGGATGAACTTTAGGGGTGATTTTCACTCCTAAAATGAGCGAGTCAGCACTTAAAAGAAAATACGTGTCTAATATTTTCTTGAGTACTATAACATATTACAATATTATTAAAATCTGTGAGGTACACCTGGGGACCTTTTCTTGGCAAACCAGCGCAGAGGTTGTAAAAAGCCAAAAGCAATAAGCATCATAGCGGCTTGCGAAAGTGAATTAGCAAACTCGTCCGGCAATCCAATGACATGTACTTCGTATTTGTCATATGAAGCCGAGAAGTTTATTTATCGCTTTCGTTTACGACGGATCTCCGCAATGTCCTTGCTCTGCTGATCATCCCGGTTAATCCAATTTTAGAACAAAGAATTAACCTCGCCGGGATGCGCAATGAACCAAGCTGGAGGAGCATCCAAAATTAATTGCACGCCAACCATATTTATGCACAGTGTGTCCAAGTTGCCTGCCACTGCGGTGCCGCTTTCGGTACACAATTATTTAGCAGCGTGTATTGAAGGGAAAGAGGTGAAGCACTTTTTAGATGATAAAGTGACTGGAAATAATTCAGTGAACGTTACTAGCGTACTAAAAATCGAAATTGGCTTGGTTAGTGACAATGATCTTAAATGTCTTGTATAACAGGAGAGAACCACTGGCAGATCATCACTGAGCGTCGTGCGGCTAGAGCACCATTGATGCGCAAGCTCGTTGCAGTTTACGCATAGAATGGATGCGTCAATCCTCCTACCAATAACGTTTCAACAGACCGTACAGAGATTTGATCTGCTACTTATTTAAGATGCTAAAAATAAATTCATAGTACAGTCGAAATGGAATAAATAGCCTATATCAAACGTTGGAAACTACAGTAACAGAATAAAATACAGACTGACGAGTGACGCTCGAGAATAGCTGTTCGGTGATTTAATTGTAATTCGAATAAAGCGGTAGGAAAATTCGCACAGATTTGCACAATCGCGGTAAGATAGTTGAAGGTCAATGCACCCTCATTCTGAAAATGTGAAATATTTAACCTCAACGATCGATGTCAATATTTATCCACATTTTGAACGTAATATTAAATTTAATGGTCGCACTAAAAATAATCACCAGCATTAAAATATAAAACAGTAACGTTATCACGAAGCGAAGTAATGATTAGTTGATTAATGATTGTCTTTATAGATAAAGTAGATATGTAACAGCAGTTAAGAAAAAGTGACTGCCTGAATATAAGAGTGCACTAGGCTGTCAAAAGTCGTGTCTTGTAGGGAAACTGATAATGATGGTGCCGTAAAATCAAAATTTCCGTTGAGCGTGGAAAATACAGGCGGAAAAATGATTGCTTGGTTCAAGATTAGCCGAGCCGGGTTTAAAATTCACCGAAAACAAAAAGGCAACTAAAATCACCACCTTCCGAAATGAAACGCTCTCGAGTGAATTATGAATGAAACGTCAGTAACACAGAAGCGAAAGAGTAATACATATATTTCAAATTTATGAGAGAGAGAAAGAGGGGCGGGAGGCTAGTAAAAGAATTAGATAAGGAGGAGAGTAGCACTCGGCAAACAGAGATAGTACGAGCATACTAGGAGCCAGCGTAGTCGAGAAGCCTATTCGTTTCTTTCGTTGTGACCGCTCAGGTGTTTTGAGTAGTGAATTATAATTTGTGTGGTTAGTGGTTGAAGGAAACTTGCCCACTCGGCATCTTTAAAGGTGTGACAAGCGTCGAAAGACGCTTTCTGAAAGACCGAATAAACTCGACTCTTTTTTTTTATTTTAAGACACGCTTGATAGTTGTTCATTGTTAACATCTATTCGATCCTCGCTCGTAGTAAAAACGTGTCTTTTGTTCCTTACCTGATTTCGCGCTTTAACACAAGATTTTAGCCACGCTAAATGCATACGCTGCAGCATCTTTTAATCAAGTAATAAATAGAAGCGACGGTTAGCCTCACATCAAAGGACGATTTATCATATCTATTTGTTAATGGTATTAAATAATTAATTCAATTACACTGGCAAACAACAAAAACCACTTTCCTGATATTCAGACGCGACATAAATATACCTCTGTATTTTGAATCGGAGAGTACGAATCTAAGACCCATTAAATACCAGAGATCAAGATCAAATGGGTTTATTTTACAAAAAAATAAATTTTAGACTGCTGATTCTGAAACAACGGGAAATTGTACGTTCAGATATCTATTTCATTTTTTTGTATCATCTTTTTCTTCGTTTATAATGTTCTCTTTTATTGCCAAAGAATCTATGCAGCGGATTTCTAGTCCTTTTCGATTTTCCATTATCATTATCGCCTGATACTTGATCTATCTTTAGTAACTAACAGCACTCTGTCAATATATTCACGTCCCATTTTCTTTGCCATCTAAGTTCAACTTCTTTTAGATCTTAATGAAAGCGCTCCCCTTGTTCTTCGCTATAATTGCCTAGGTTCTTAGGAAATTAACTAACGTGAGAATCCATAAAATGGAGTTTAAAATTCTTCAAACATCCCGATCATTGATAGTTTCTCACAATATAAAACGTATTAATACAGTAGTCTAGTCCCATGAACGTCATATTTTCGTATTTTTGAAATCGTCAAATGAACTCTTTATATAATAACATAAAATGTCCTTGAAATGATATAAAAAAAATGAAATAGATATCTTGACGTAGAATTTCCTGTCCTTCCAGAATCAACAGTCAAAGATTCATTTTTTGCAAAATAAACACATTTGGCTTTGACCCGTTCAGATAGGAATCAAGTAGAACCCGGATTCGGATTTAACGACCTAAAAATTCTAAAACCTTATAATTATTTCCGTTCAAATAACTTTTTTCTCCATTTCACCTTCAAATGTCTTTGACCCAGGTGTGTTGGGATCTAACGGTCCTCAGATTCGAGCTCAGAGATTTAAAATACATAGGAATATGTATGTCATATCCGAATATCAGGAAAATGTTTTTTTCTTTTTTGTGCCGGTGTTATTGAAGCCACCGTTGTGTAATATTAAAATTTAGATCTAATCTAAATTGAGTAACTGCTTAATAGCTTATTATTTCTTACTAGTTTTAATTGGATTGATTTTAATTATGTTGCATGTTATAAAGATAAATAAATTGATTCAAAATTATTGATAAGTAGTAGGCAATTATAAATAAATATTAAATTATATATTTTGGGAACTATAGCTATAATTATACTTTTGTTTCAATAGTGTGGCAGATCCATCTCAGCGGGAAAATCTTGGTATCATTGTGCAATACAAAGTCAAGGTGAAACTATGCTTAGGTGCGCTAGCGGGGTGAGTTTTCTCTAATAAACTAGTTAAAATAAAAAAATCTTGTCTTCTATCTTGTATATTAATATGACTAAATGACATTGTTATTAACACATTGATTTATTTAGAGAATTAGTAGCGGAACTGCCATTTATATTAATGCACCCAAAACCTGAAGAAGAGGAACCTATCCAAACAAATTGTCGACCAAGTCCATCGCAGAAAATCGAGGATGGAGATGATGCTAATCTGATTCAGTTGGATGAGTAAGATTTTTGATTTTTATATTGACTTTAAAGAATTTTTCGAATATATACAATATAACAAAATATTTTCATGTTGCAGAGAAGCTGATGACATTATATTTGAAGATTTTGCCCGTCTAAGGCTGAAAGGGGAAACGGACGCTTAACCGTCTTCTTTATTTGGAAGATAATTAGCCGATCACGCAGAACAACGAGACTTACGCTTTTTAGCATGAGGCTTTTTGATTTGAATTTATCGTAACTCTGGATACATTACCGCCGACTTAGCCGCTTCTGTAGCCATTAGTAGTATCACCAATTTTCTTACGGATATTTTGCACTACAGAAGGGCCTCGCGATGAAAACGCATTTCGATATAAAAGGACAGTTTATTGTTCTTTATCTACGTTTCTACTACGTTATTCTACTCAATTTCTTAAACTTATAATCAAGTCAAAGTACTACCAAAGCAGCATTTTTGTGCGTGCGATTTGTTTATTCTACTGGCAAAGCGATTCATAAAAATTATTTTCTATGGAATATTATGAAGTAACTAGTTTTCGGAGTAATGATTGCCTGTATTTTTTCTTTCCGTATAAGTATCTACGGATAATATATTATTATCTAAGCATTTTTCTTTACTTTATACTCTTTTGTTGTTGCAAATTACCTAAGTAATTTTTTTTCTTAATGAATTACTGATACTATTATTAGCGATCGTGATGAAAACAATGAAAGTGAATTTTAAGCACAAATAAATTTATATCATACTATCATGAACTCATAGTATGATAGTTTTAATAATTTTGACGTGAGTGAATTGATGATTTACGAAAACTGATGTGCTGATATCACTGAAACATTTGAACTACATTTCTGGATTTGAAAAAAAGTTCATTATTATTAACCTTTAAAGAACGCAGGTTTCTCGTTTCAACATGATTTCTTGTTTTCATCAAAACCTATGTCTAAAAACGTGGGATTATTAATTTAGATACCCTAAGTGGCAGGCAGTCCATATATGGATTATCCCTGTCTGAAACTCTACAGACAATATAAAATTTTTGTTCCATGTTTTAAGTATAAAATCGGAATTTTTATAGGTATTTTAAATCAATTTATTATTGTTCATGAATGTTGAAATTATTATTTTTAAATTTACAAAAAAATTAAAACAAAAGCTAGTTTTACAACTGCTTTTATTTGATCTGGAAATCAAATCAAGTTCCTAGGAATTTTTTCATTACTGTTTTCTTTTATAACACGTCAAATTTAATTTAAAAACAATAGTTTGTGTTATCAGAGTGGTCAGTATATAGACTATCCCGTTCTTTAAAGGTTAAGTAAAATTTAATACACTGTCTATATTATTTTTTAATGTAAAATCAACAAAACTGCTTATCTTGAAAGATTATTATCATTATTTCAACAATAAGCTGGAACAGATAATTTGTCTTCAATAAAATATCTATTTTCATTCAATAAATCAACAGCGGATATTTTTTTTTTATTTGAAACGTATTTGTTCATCTTTCTGATCGATTATCTAGTACTATAATATATAATATAAATAGTCAATTGTCTTAAAACTAGTATAATAAAGAAAACTTTACTTTTTTGTTATATTGATAAAATCGCAGGAACAATTATTGACTGAAAAAATATATTTACACATACACACACACACACACACACACATACACACATGTATATATAAAAGCTAAAGTATAATATAACATACAAACGAAATATGATAATGTTACGAATATTGGTTTACAACCAAAACAAAAAGGTCCATTTATATTTATAATAAGGCTTTATGCGTTGATTAAATAAACATGTATGTAATTATAAAATTTTCACAAAACAGACAATATGTAACTATTATATTACAAAATCTACTCTTCAAAAGTTTAAAAATTGCTATAAACTCTGAAGGACAAGTTGTTATTCCGTGCGAGTTCGCATAAGGGCACCCGAGCACGAGCGCGCGTTGACAGTACCAGCCAGCTATCGAGTCGGCACCGACTAGCTTGCGTGCAAAAAGGAGAGAGAGGGCAAGAATCGATATTTTTTGTCGATGCTTCATCCATGGACACCTGTACTCGGCATAAATATTGCGATCACTAAACCACCATTAAATAGTAACTAACTAGCCACTCAGCTACTGAATCCTAAAAAAACATTCAAGTACACCAGGTAGAGAAACATAACACAAAGCATTGAGCTTTGACAGACATCCTGAGTTGAGCAATTTCCTCGACCAACAAACGAGCCGAATCGAAATACTCTTCACGAAAAATTTTGCCGGAAATCAAGTAAGCTGGATAGCTTCGCGTGCGTGATCGATTCGGTTAATGGTTGTTGACACAACATCGCAGTGTGACATAATTTATCCAGGTTGCGCCTCTCACTCTCTCTCTCTCTCTCTCTCACGAGGTAAACAGTTATCGCGCAACAATAGCCAATGTGTCCTGTCCGATACTCCCGGCCTCCGTTTGTAGAATCAGTGTACACTCCGCCAGTGATTAATAAAACCCGATTTTGGTGCAACCCAAGTTTGTCTGTCCACTTATCAACCCATTCTCGTTTCCTCGCATCAAATCCGAACGCACTTTAATGACGACGTATCCATCGCGTTCGTTTTCAGCAGTCAACTATTCGCAATGAATTTCCAGTAGAGGCTAATGCCTCCTCGATTCAATAGGGAACAGTGGAAGGACCTTCTGCGACAACTGACCGAATCAACACAAGCTACTTGCGCATACAATACCCCGCGCCTTTGCAAAAGAATATCCATCCTATTACAAAACATAAATGACTGTATACTTTACGTGTATAAATTTTCAAATAATGAAAAGTTTTCGATTTTCTAAGATCAACTTTGAACCCTTGTGTTAAAATACACTTGGTAAGATTCTTGATATACCAAATAACAGGATTCAAGTAGAAGAACAATATGTTTTCTCTCTCTGAAAAGATTACATTACAAATAATAAATCGCGATTTAAAGCTAATCTAGAACTTTAACCCTTTTGTAGGTGAAAGAAATTAAAAACAGATAAGCTATTTATAATTTAAGTAGTTCGAAGCACCACTAAATTCAAGTATATCACTATATTTACATAATTAATTTCTTCAAGTAATGGGTTGAAATAAATTTCTGCAAAATTACTACTAAAATCGGATTTTACGAAATATATTTATTTCTAACTGTTTGCACAATTGATTTACTGACACAAGTACATCATTTTAATTCGTTCAGACGTATTTAAGTAAAAAGTCTTTATTAATCTCATATTTTATTGCTATTACACTCCTCATCACTTTCTTCGGATGGATAATATACAGACGATTTTGCAGCCATACCAAATGGATCAATGATATCCGATTCGCACGAGTTGATTTCCATCGGCTCATCTTCGCTTACACAAGTAACAGATTTTCTCTTTTCCTGTTTGACTTTTTTTTTCGTTGAATATTTATTGTATAATCTAGTTCTATTTTCATGATTTCAATATTTAACAGTAATTATACGTGAATTTTTATAATTAATTTTAATTCTTATTTACAATAATATGAGTGAATATTTTTAACAAGAGTCCAAACTTATAAATTAATTGTACATATTTTAAATGTAAAAGAGTTCATCACAGGATTGAACGTGGAACCTATTCTTAATAAGTTTTTTCCGTGTTTTAATGATTCAATAGCACAATCCTCGGCATGTTTCATACAATAACTCACTATTTTACAAAAATGAAGAGAAAGCACTATAAACTTCATGTGATATTTTTTGGAAACTTTCTTTGCGATTTTCTTGTTTGTTACAAAAGCATTTGTCATAACTACTCATAATATAATACGGATACAATAAAGTTACTGCAAGTCAGAGTGTCATAATGGTAAGTAGTCCAAAATACAACGGAGGTCAAAAATTTATTCCCAAATGATACATCCTTATCTTATAAGAGCAACGTGGAACAAAACTAAGAAGTTTACATGTTGTTAAGAAGCTGGGGGGATAATGGCAAAATATACCATTACGTTAATTTTGTATAAAACACAAATAAACACAGAGAAAAAGTTATATAGATGTTTGAAAATACACTATAACAATTGTTATTATAGAATTTTAATATTTATTACGAGTTTATACGTAATTGCTGTGTAGAAAAGCATTGATGCGATTTTTTCGACTGCGCATCTTGAATGGTAAACATGGCATGTACAAATACATGATGCACTTTTTGCCAGTTACTGCTATTCTGTGTTGCTTGCCATAGATACAACATCACCCATTTACGGGAGTGTGATGAAAAATCATGTACACTCCCGATCACGTACTTTTACCCCCCCCCCCCTCGGGCAAAATTATTGAAAGTTTGAAAGTGTCCATCTTTGATGCAAATTAATGTACAGAGCCGATTTGATGCCGGAGACGCATTAGAAAGAGCATACATATGGTGTAAATCACAAATACAATTAAATGTTTTTTTATTTTTTTTAAACAATAATTCAAGACTGAAAATTCTAAAAATTCTTCTCCATCTTTGATCCCCTGTCCAACGATTGAAAATAATCACACAAAAATTTAAAACATAGCATTTCGTAGTTTTTTTCAAACCCTATTGAAATCACTTATTATAAAATTATTTTCATCAAATATTTGTCAACACTTTGTATATTCAGATGATAGAGAAAAATGTATATGATAGAAAATGTTTCGGTTTCCACGTAGAATAATGTGGAATTTCATTTTTGATTTTTTTCGCCTTAAGCTGATGCGTTAGAAAACGTAAAAAATATTCGCTAAGTCATAGAAATGTTCTTTTTCACTTTTAGAATAATTTGCATAAAAAAATTACAATTTGTGCGAAAAAGTTTTTTCATTTCTCTTTTTTAGTGACAAAAATTAATTTGTTAATAAAAATAATAATTTTATCAGAATGGTTTAGTTTATGTAAAAAATAACTATAAAATTTATACAAGATGTGCAGTTTAAAATAATTGCTTACTTAGTATAAAGTAGATCCAATACTCTTAAGAATAACGAACGTGTTTACGAAAACCATGTTTACAAAATCCCTACTCCTATCAAATCAGGTATACATTTTCATTTCTATACTTCTGACTACAAGCTTATTATTCGGTAGTAAACATTTTGAGCCTGAATAACGGATTCCGTACTGTGTATTGACCATAGTGAAATCGAAAAATTTGGGTGTCCATGAGCGTAAAAAGATTATTGCACTTCATGGATTTCAAATGAGTTATCATGCCATTACAAAATAGTTAAACATGGATAGGCGCACAGTCGCTTATATAATTTTTGTTACCGAAAAAAAACGAAAAAAAAAATTTTCGCACAAATTATAATCATTTTACGCAAATTATTCTAAGAGTAAAAAAGAACATTGTTTTGACTTAGAAAATATTTTTTATGGGCAATTCTTGGCTATTTCAAACAGTTTAAAACTTCAAATCACCAATTTTGTTCAAAGTTGGTAGACTTGTTATCTATACAGAGATCAACATCTGTGCAGAGTTTTAGATCAAAATATTGATAAGGGGTCGACTTATCAACTGTTGAAAAAATATTTGACTTTTTTTTATTAATTCGATTTCTCGGAGACTAAAAAAGATATGGACATGATTCTTTTTTTAAAAGACGCGGAAAGAGTTTCACTTTTAAAATATAAATAATAAAATACCAAATCATTTATTTATGCCATTGTTATAAACAATTTTTTCACAAAATCGATGATATCTCAAAAAACGATATTTTTTTTTTGAATTTTGGCACCATCGTGTTCCTTGTCATTTTTTACATAAGAAACCGGTGAGAAAATCGAGTGCCCGCTATTAGGATTAAGATAGCACTAAAATGAAACGAACCACGCGCTAGCCGCTCGGCCGCACGGCCGTCTGCTACTCGTGCGGTTCCAACGTTGCTTGCTGCAATTGCCTTCTTTAAAGAATAAATAATTTCTTATTCTAACAGTTTATATGTACTTATTTAAATAATATATAGATGTATTAATTAAGTAATGTAAATGAACTATTTCTTTATACAATCTGATATAATATTGAAATTAAACATTCGCCCCTGTTTTAACAATTTTGCCCTAGGCGGGGGGGGGGATTACGTGACCGGCGGTGTATCTAACTCGAGTGTACTGTTTTCGCTTAGACGACAACATCACACAGTAGGTCAATTATCCATTGTGCTCCCGTAATACATAATATACTACATTTCAACAACTTAAACACTCAACAAAATATGAATTTTTAAAAATATCTTATACGACTTTTTCGATTGTTATTATTTTTTTAATAATTAATATTTTTATCTAATAGAAAGATGGGTCAATAAGTCCTTAGAAAATCCAAGGAATGGCACGTAAAGCATCACAATTTATGTTGCAAAAGCAAGCCTCACTTCTAAATAGAGTGCTACCAAAGTTTAAGCCATATCTATCACGTGATTTCATTTTTATCGTCGAACAATTGAACAAATTTTGCTTAATGTTAACATTGGAAAAACATGAGTTCCAAGTGGTGATAAAACATTTCGATTTAATAGGCCTTACACTGAAAGAAATCAAAGCTAAAGTAGATGCAGTTCATGGTGTATCTGTCTTTGTGTTTGCAACTGTTAACAATTGGGTAAAAGAATTTAAACATGGCCATATATCGACTGCAGATGAATATCGTTCAGGTTGTTTTATAGACGTGAGTACTCCGGAAATAATCGATAAAATCCACGACATGGTGTTAAATGAGTGAAGGATTAAATTGCTCAAAATAGTGGAGGCCACGAGGCCAAAGAGGTTTCAAAATATACAGTCATTTCGATTTTGCTCGAGAAATTGGATATGACAAAACTTTCAGCAAGATAGGCGCTACATTTACTTTCAGCCGAGAACAGATGCAGTTGTGTAGTGATCGCTAGGTCCTCTTAGCGTGCTTCCACCGTAATCCGGACAACTTTCTATACAGATTCATATACACTACCGTCCATAAAGATTTGCCATCCCCTTGCTGAAATCATCAAAACTTAGAGTTTTATGGCTCAGTTTCTATAAGAGCTAGAAAATCCTGCGGGGTCTCATTTGAAAGGTCTTGCCAAGACCTTTCAAATATTGTAAAACATAATTGATTTTATTTGTTTTTTGTACAACTTGTGACGTCATAAACAAATTGTTTTTTTTTAATTTTTTCACATCAACTTCGACCCCGATTTATTTATATAACGGATTCTACGATGGAAAAATTATATAAGCCATTCGATAGAGCTTTCAAAAAGCTACAAAATCCATATCCGGAAAATTTTTTTACCTTTATTTTTTATGAGCTATATGGTGTTTTATACAAAAACAAAGATTTTCAAAAAATGAG